TAAATTTAAATGAAATTAAATAAAAATTATATATTATATATGTTATATATATTATATATTATATATTAATTATATAATTAAAATAATAATATATTAATTATATATTATATATATATATATATTTAATATATTATTTACATTTAAATAAATTTAAATTACATATTATACACATTTTATTTATAAATTTAAATAAAATTAAATAAAAATAGAAAAATTCAAATGAAATTAAATAAAAATTAGGAAATATTACTTCCCGATTATTATTCTGTTATATTATTCTGTTTGAGATAAAATTATAAGCGTATTGTTATATACTTTTTGTTAAATAATATGTAATTAATCAATCTATTTCGTCGCATAAATGAACACTCAACCTCAGCCTGATAACAACTTGTTTCAACGAAAAGATCAAAGCCTCGGACTCGATCTAAGAAACCGCTCGACGTTTCAATATTAAATTATTAATAACCTCGTACGAAACGTGGTTTCACGCTCGGATAAGTGGAGAAGATGTTCCGCCTCTTGCAAATAAGACAGTTAATGCACACTAAATCTACCTGCCCCTAGAACTGCTCCGTACTGTTTTAATCTGTTGAACATTTCGAAAGGCACGCTCGGCGAAAGGAAATGCTCTCAAGAGATTATAGAGGGGGGCCGTTGAGGGGATTAGAGAACCCCTGTGAAAGGAGGTGTTAAGGTCAAAACGAAGATCGCTCGAGGCATGAAATAAAATAAGGGAACGAAACCCTCGTACGACGAATCACGTGCGTACGTATAAACGCGCTGTCGTGGATCTGTCTCGAATTATTTTGACGAGATTGCGAGAAACCGATGATCGGGACACGGCCGAGTCGGTATGAAAGTGTCTCAGAAGATCGAGAGTTTCGAGAATTCTTGGGACTGTCGATAAAGTCGGCATCTTCGAGATTTTCGGGGTCCTTGAAGAATTATAACGTTATAAAGTTATAAAATTCTTGAGAATTATGAATATTACATGAACATACGTATAAATTGTAAGCAGAATACGGGGGAGAAGTAATAACTGTTAGCGAGGTGCAAGAAAATAAAAACCTAACCTAAAATCTGGGGAAAATAAAAATCTAACCTAAAAATCTGGGGAACCTGAAAGTGTCCCCGAAAGTGTCCCAGAATTCGAGAATTTCGAAACTCTCAAGAACTCTCAGGACAAAAAAAAAACAAAAAAAAAGTATTTTCGAGATTTTTGGGATTTTTGAGAATTATAAAATTTTGGAGGACAGAATACGGAGGAGAAATAATAAATGGTATCCTTCATTAGAATTCTTACTATAATACTATATAATATATTATATTATATCCTTATATTAGAATATTATAATATACTATATACATTATAATATACTATAATATTGTACTATATACTGTACTGTATACTGTACTGTATTAAATTTTCGTGGCATTTTCGCGCTAGAGAATTTCACTCCACTTTGAAAATGAAATTGTTTGTTACAGAGTGTGATGAAAAAAAAAACTGTACTATATTGTACTATATACTAGAACCCTTATTATAATATTGTATATATTATATCCTTGTATTATTATAACATACTATATACATTATAATATACTATAATATATTATACTATATACTAGAATCCTTATTATATTATTGTATAATGTATTATATCCTTATATTGTTATATTATAATATACTATAATATATTATACTGTATACTAGAATCTTTACTATAACATTGTATAATATATTAAATTACATCCTTATATTATTATATTATAATATACTATAATATATTATACTATATACTAGTATCCTTATTATAATATTGTATAATATATTATATTATATCCTTATATTATTATATTATAGTATACTATAATATATTACACTATATACTAGAATTCTTACTACAATATATTGTATAATATATTATATTACATCCTTGTTATAATATACTATAATATATTATACTACAAACCAGAATCCTTATACATTATATCACAATATCATATATTATAATATATTATATACTGTAATATAAATTACATGATACCATACAATAGTAAGAATAATTAACAAGTAATATTTACTTTAACGTTATTTTGTTAACAAATTTGACACTTCTTGCTGAGTTCAGCTGAGATTTTAACAGAGATAAAGGCGGTACGCATGTCGCAAGATATCAATACGTGGCTTTGTAACAAATTCACAAAAAAAACATTCTCCATTTCACAAAGTGAAAGTTCACCGAGCGAACTCTTACAGATAAGTACGTCAATTTTTTTTTTCGCCAGACACGTCTCCGCGAGACAAATTTTTTTTCGCGAGACATTTCTCGTGAATTCTCGGGCTCTCTCTCTCTCTCTCTCTCTCTCTCTCTCTCTCTCTCTCTCTCTCTCT